ATCCAAACAAAAGTTAATTGAGGTGAGATAAATGATGCAGTTTCCAAATGAAGTTTTTTGTAATTATTGTTGTTGTAAATTCTAGCTACTATATATTTCAACAACAATTAATGATAGGGAATATATCATAAATTAGCGTTCATAAATAAGTAGACAAAAAGTAGTGATTTTAACACAAACCAGCCAAACCGGTTGGAGCGGTGTGAAAAGAGAAGCGCAGCACAAGAAGTGAGTCATTATATCTAGCTGGCTTTGTGACATGCTTAAGAAGAGCGCCTTTCATTTTACAATTAGGATGAGGCGCAAAACTTGCCCACTCCTGAAAAAAGAATGGAAATTCAGCTTTCATTTACAACAACACAATTGCCGCGCTCCACACACGCACAAGCAGAACCATACACGAGCACATACACATATGTACAAGTATGTATGTATGTAGGTCTGTAAGAAATCGGTCAGCTGAGGTGCAAGTATGGTGAAATAAAGGGACCAGAGATTTGCACGTGTTCAAATTAGCGCAACCAGTTTTCAAAAGACTTTTCATGACAAATCTGAGGGAAATCGCGTATACATGCCAGCGTCGTGGCTATTGTCTAAACTTCGAGAAAAGCCATAAGGCAGAGCACACTCGAATCAGAGGGGTGAATTACATAATTTCGTATTGAAGGACAAACGCATACTGCATTGACGTAAATGTAAGGATATAGCAATTGTAAATTGAATTGGAAATTAATATAAAAATCATAATGGAAATTCCTATACAAAGCGCACAATCTGACGTACCATAATATATACATATAACATACATAGAGATATACAAATGTCTGCAGTACATAATAATTTTTCTTAGCTTAAGCTCCCGAAGGACAATGATCATATTTGGAAGTTTGTGCTGCATTAATGAGTCCTACTGTACTCTACACTCGGAATGCCCGAAACAATTGTCGTAAATACTATATGTATGTATATAAATTCTTCGAGTGCTTACCATAAGCACATAACTATACACGTTTGGCTTTGTTGTTAGTGCATGCAGAGTTTCTCTTATTTAAACTACACAATTTTGTAAATTTTACATTAAATCAGGGTGTAAAGCAATTAAAACCACCACTAAGCGTTATGTAAAGTGCTAAGCGCATGGTAGTGTAGAAAAGACCACCAACACCTTTATAACTACAAAGCAAGTCGAACACAGGAATTCGTATTCTAATTACATATAACGGGTGCCACAAAAGTACTAGGATTTTTTTTTTGGAAAGGCGAGGTCTTATCGGAACACTGAATAGGCTTCTGGAGATGCAGAGAAGGTGCTGTGGGTCGAAGTATTTTTTATCACTTTTTTTATGAATTTTTTAAAATTAATTTGTGTTATTGCTGGAGTTGTCACTGTAGAAGGCTTCTATGTATGTCGCTACTTTTCAACCTTGTCTTTGAGGGCTTGTAGATACGACTTAATGTCTTCGTAGGAGGCAATCAACGTATCACGGCAGCCGACAAGTTTTGAAGGATTTTTATTTCCGATTCCAACGATTTGTAGCAAAAAAATTTTAAGTTTCAAGCTTCGTCATTTAGTAGTAGTCTTATTTCTTTACTCCAGCTAGTGAAGAGTATGCAGAATGAGGCGAACAAGTCAGGTTGAGTCTGACAATGTTAAAGAATGAGATCTTCTTGTTGAATTCGAATATATTTTTTCGCAGAGCTTACATATAGAAGTTA